CTGTCTATAGCCGGGTACCCATTCCCACCTGGGTGAAGTGAGGAAAATTCGTGTAAAGTGCCTTTCCCAAGGACACAACATCGGGCCCCTGACAGGATTCGAACCCACGACCTTACGGTTGCGAGTCCGAGAGCCTAACCACTAGGCCACCGACGGCTCTCGCAACTGCATTAGGTCTTAAAAGCGCACGGGACAGATAAAACATGTTCACTAAGTAGGACGTGTTTAATTTTGCACGGGTGGAGGCGGAAGCCTACTCTTATCGATTTTGGACCATCAAGGGATCTTGAACGTGTGCAAATTTTCACACTGGACCGCCCAGATTTTTCGCCTTTATCCAAGAAGGTTAGGTGTTAGATCTTACCTATTATACGATCAGGGATGTGGCTAAAGGACAGTAATTAGAAGAAGCCAAGGAATAGCAATAGGCAGGCTGCAGAAAGAGCCAGGAGCCCAGATGAGGGGGCAAAGGAGGTGTAGAGGTGGGGGCAGAAAGTAGAGACGAAAGTAGACGACAGAAAATTGTTAGAGAGCAGGAAAGGGGGTGAAAAGAGAAAATGTTGGAGAAGAAAACGTTCAGTCGCTTTCCTGATTCGAACCCGGGACTTATTGAATGAGAGGCGGAGACCGTAACCCCTCGACCACGAGAGCCCCTAATTTAACTCAGCTCCTGACTTTCTAACAAAACTTACTGAAACAACACCTTTCTTTCCCCTTTCAAACAGGGCTAAAATAAGAATATCTTTTCTTAGATATTATTGTCTAGACGCCCCAATCGACTTAAAATTGTGATCAGTTTGGAGCCTGCCTTGACCCTGCCTGTCAGAATCAAGCCGGTGTAAGAGGGATTCACAATTGATGTAGAAAAACCGAGATCCGCGAAAAAAAATTCTACCCACTCGGATATCGAAGTCGGGTCTCTTCCATACGACATTGAAGCCCCTAACTTCTACACCACAGACGCCTGTCTAGGGTTAGATAAGATAAGATAAGATAAGATAAAATAACATTGATCTCGACAAAGAGAAATTTACTGCGACTTGCCAAATACAAACACGCACACGTAAACACACACACACAAACACCCACGCACACACACACACACACACACACACACACTCACACGCATACGCATATAAACACACACACAAACACACACTTACAATAACACAGACATACACACAATCACACACACAAACAAACACATACACACATATTAGTTAGATATAGATGTATATTATGTTATATTGTGTCGTAACAATATCGCCAGTCATGAGACATCCCAGAGATACATTAATATAAAAAGTCACTTTAAAGGTTACCTTTTCACTTATGCTGAGACAATATCCCGCTTTGATGAGAAGGAAACAGGCAAACACCAGAACACTAGTGGAATACGCCCTCAAAGCCATATTGATGAGTAAATTGGCGTACACCCCAGTGATTCTGCACGGTTATTACCCAAACGGTTTACAGACATGTACTTTGCTGACAATGCCCTACATGCCCACCGTTTTATATCGCGTATACATTATGCAATGTGCACATAAGTCAATCCATCGAAAACGAAACATTTGAAGTGACGATTTTGCTTTGAGGTTATCGAGGACCGAATTTTTCCCAGAAGCCCTGTTATTACGACAATTACTATCAATTTCAAATAGGGCAGGGTGTTTCAAAACCGTCATACTCAACTCGGTCCTTGCTTTCCCACGATCCCGTTGTATTACTAAATCAAAATTATCGGTCTTTTAGTTTTAGTAAGAGTTTTACGGCACTTGCAACACAAAAAGGTCATATAAGTAGAGGTGTTACAACAGAGTAACAAGCACAAAAAAACACACGATAAAGACGACAGATGTTTGATATTATCGGTCTATCCATAATTAGAGCAAGCTTTATACTTTGGAATAGAGTAGGATATACTATGCTAGTAAATCAAAGAATGGTGTTTCAAAAATACATTTTTTTTCTAGATCATGGGGTTGTTGTTTTTTTCTATTTCGTTATAATCATCATAATGCTTGTTGGAATTTCAGGTCATGTTTTCTGGTTTTTCTTTTATTTTTGATTGGGGATTTTTTTGTAGAGGGTTTGTTGACCTTTTTTTTGTTGTTGATGAAGAAATCATGAGTGCTGTTATTTTTTTACATTCTCAGTTAATGGGTTCGTTTTTGAAAGAGTAGTCCATCTTGATAATAATATATTTTCTTTTAGAAATTTACTTCCCATTTTCAAAAATCAAAAATAAACCCCCAAAGCCTAAAACACAAGATACTAAGGGCTGGTGTGGCAACTGAGGTCTATTTTGGCTATTACAAGGCCTAGAGTGCCCATATTTGCTGTGGGACATTGTGTGCTATTGGGGATTTGGAATGTATAGTTCAAAAAGTATATTTTGAATCGGTTGCTATGGAAACGGCAGCCATATTGGATTTTGTATACCTTTTTCAATCCCTTTTTATTCCCTTATTTTAACTGACCCACTTTTAATTTGGCATGCCTACAGTAAATATATAGCTCTTAAATTCGGCTTGTTGAATTTTTAATATATGCTTTAGTTTTTATTTTATGACACTTACAATTGGGTGGTTGCAAAAAAAGTGAAAAAAATGGAACAGTCATGCTTTCTAAGCCCATAAATCAAAAACTATTCCATTAATCAAAAATTCAACAGACCACAATTTAGAACTAGGTGCGGTTGGCATCCTATAAAAGTTACATTTAAATTGAACAAGAAACAGGGCAGACAAATGGAATAATGTGTGAAAAAATAGAATTGTGAGAAAACAGCCGATAAAGGAAAGAACAGACTGGAAAACATGTGCTGTCGTAGAAACACTTGAACAAAAACACAGCTTTAGGGTGTAGCAAGGCTTACATACGTTTCTGGATATTGTCCAGGAAATGTCCAGGTACTATAATATGTAATAACACCAATTTGCCTAATTTGGCCCCAAAACAAGATTTCAAGGTGCCCCACCAGCCCTAAGTAGATATCGACACCAATAAAGTAGATGCCACCAATACAATAGCATCCTACTTTCTGAAGGCAGAACGTATAAATGGACCGATTGCTTCCGTCGTAGTCTGGCAAGCAAATTAAGCAGCTTAAACCCAGTTTGTATGTGTGTGGGAGGGGGGAGAGCGATGAGACAGGAAGAGAAAAAGAGAGTATCCTTTCCTAGACGCACTTACCAAAACAATAAAAAGGGGGGGGAGGCAGAAAAAACATTTTGAAGTACTTTTATATCCAAAAACCAACCCATGTTTTTCATACGTACAAAAACAGTCTTGAGAAAACTTTTTAATTAGGGACATGCACAAAAAGACCACGTTACCCCAGGCCTGATCACAAAATTAAAAGTTCAACCCTGATTCAAAAACTGTCAAACTAAATGGTTAGCTTCCACTGTTGCATTACTGAGTCGAAAGCGAACTCCTTTCGAAATGTCTCTAAATGTCACATTAATGGCTGTTTTCTAGCATTACACTACAGTGACAATCTATTAACTGTTTTTTTTTCTTTTGTCGTTTGTTCGTTTTTTTGTTTTTTTTCTTTTTTTTGGGTTTGTGTGTGTGTGCGGGGGGG